AGAGAAAGGACAAATGCAGATCGCTTAAACTTTTGCCTCTGACTATAACTTTCATCTTTACACATTTTCATTTAGACTAGTCCGAACTCGTCCACTACACAAGACTACAACTTGTTCTATGTGGTGTCGCTGTTACCCATCCTGACTAATTTTTTTCTCAAAAAGTCCTCCTACAGGACTAGTCCACCTATTAGTGATTCTTACTAGTCCTAGACGGGTCTTTTTAGCGAAACAGACTAGACATGTCAGAGCCAATGACGCCCATCAGTAACATAGTCTGGACGGGTATTATGGACGACAACTTTTCCAGACTAGTCATGGTATAGTCCGATTTGAGAAAAAGACTATACAGGACGTCCCGTCAGGACTAGATATGAGACTAGTCTTTTTACCCGTCCTTTGCTCGCCTGGGATATGACAGATACCAGATTACGGCTGTGGGACAGGGTTGCCGCATCGAAAATTAAAAAATTGGAAAAATTTTTCTTAATATCGGAAAAATGTCGGGATTGTTATTCTCAAAATCGGAAAGTCTTTTTTTAATGCTTAAATAGCTAGTCTGTTTTTTCAATAGGACGATATGCTATATCTTGCTACTGTTAATGTTTTTTGAAACAATATCCAAACAGGTATTCGATAAACAATTAAAGAAAATATAAATTGCCATACACAATTTACTCATTATTAAGAAATCAAGATAAGCCATTTAAACAGATTCACATTAGTTTTTTTTTCAAAAATCTTATAAACAACCTGCCGAAAGAATAGAATCAACATTATCAATTCATAAACACACATGCATTTCACAAAAATTGTGTTAAAGAAACTAAGATTTATTCTGTAGAACATCCGTTTTTTGTTCATATTTCCTTATTAGCTCGAATGTTCTTCAAAACATCAAGTTGAGGTAACAGATATTCATAAAAATGTCCACAAGGGTAATCGGAACTCATTCTGATTTTCAATTCTGCAGTAGCTAATTTAGTACCAATACGATTATGATTAGTTTTATCATATCTGCCATAAAACAAAAAAAGAAAACTCAAAAAATAAGATATTTTTGATTATCAGTACAGTAAACGAACAGAGAAAATTAGTTCATCGCGATAGTAAACTGAATCTTTGTTTGTCTATAAAACATCCTAATTTTATTGGAAGATGAGCTTTTAGAGCACTGAAGTGTGCTTTGTTGAATTCATGACGTTGTACCACCTAACAATTATAGTGCCACAGATATCGCAATATATATGCAGAAGCAAGTCGTCTTTAAATTATTCTGGAAATATTCTAAGAAGCTCAATTTACAAAAAAGACTCCAAGAATCTGAGAAAAATTAGGAAATCAGAAGGTGATTGGAACGTCGAAAAAAATTTCAAAAATCAGAATATTTCCCGCCATATCGGAAGATCTAGCAACCCTCTTGTGAGTTTCAACAAACAGAACATACTCACGCACATCCACATGCACACTCGAAAAACAAAACGATTTTTTTAATTTTGTTCCCATAGACAACATACATCAAAGTGTGCATAACCAAAGGGTGTGGGTGTGGATCTCGTCTTAATCCACGCCCACACCCACCCACACCCACACCCACACCCTTTTATTCACATGTTTTGCCTCGTATTTACAACAATATTCAATCGCCTGTGTTTACCTTTCAACATTTATTACGTATTTCTGCATTTGCTGAAGAAAATTGTAATGGAATCTTTTCAAATTTGACACATTTAAAGATTATGATTCCCAGAAAATGTCGTATAACAGGCACAACTTTTCCATTAGGTAAACTATATTACTCGTTTCGCTTTTCTAATCTACATTCAAATGTCATTTCAGACTTATATTTTTTGCGCAGATAAAAAATGGGAAAATAATATTTTGAAGCTTTTAAAAATCTGATTTTAAATTGAAATAGTTTGTGAAAAAAAATATCGATACACAACCGTATTAGAATTTTATTCCACAAAAGTTAGACGAAAGAATGAAAAAAGTTATCAAAGTTTTTAAGCATTGCTTTCTACTTATGAAATCCTTATGTAAAAATTATCATAAAACTGATAATCATATACATTTAGGTAATAACATGTTTAGTTTAAGACACGATGAATGTCTCTTCTCAATATTACCTCAACTTTTTTCTATGGAGAATATTGATTCTCATAGAAGACAAATACTTGCTTTTCTATATTCACGATTTATGCGTTTTGTTATTTCGTTCGAACTTGATAAAGATTATATTCTACCAACATTAGTTAATGATGACAATTTGTTCTTTCCTCAATCATCTCATCTTACTCATATTCGTATCACATTACGTTACTTCAATGATTGTATTCTTCTACTCAATCAATTAGGCGCACAACTTCACTCGTTGAGTGTGAGTGTTACCCTTATCAATATACGACAATATAGGACAATATCACGAATGACATCGGTAAATATTTGTTTTCAATTTAGTATTTCAATAAATTAATTTCATTTAGACATCTTGTCCTTATTTGAAAGAATTAACAATAACAAATTATCGTAATATTTCTGGTTATTAACTATTTGTTGTTCCTCTTTTACAACGTTTGTCAACTATCGAATATTTGACATTGTTATTAGCTGTTGGTGTAAAGAAATTTGTACCACATCACTTTATTGATGGATACGATTTACAAAGAGATATTATTTCTTATATGCCTCATTTACGTCAATTTCATTTTCATATTCGTTCAATAGTAGCATATGCTTCTCATATAGATATCGATACAATTCGTCAAAGTTTTGTTCATCAACCACAATCTGTTGATTGTGTACTTGATTATTTCAATAATAGATGTGGTCAATATCAAATTTTTTCACTTCCATTTATTGGTACTCGTCTTGATTTTATCTCAAATCGATTTCCACTTTTCGATGAAAATAAAAATACTTTTTCAAATGTTACAACAATATTACTTTTTGATGATGTCAATCCTTTTGAATATAATTTTTTTAGACTTGTTTCTCGAGCTTTATCTTATCTTAAATCACTTGAAGTATTTAATCGACTTGAACAAGAAGAGAAAACAATGATAACAACAAATTTAATTGAATTTCCTCATTTGGCAACACTTATCTTGGATGATATACATATGGATTATGCTGAACAATTTCTTTGTCGAACTCATCTTCCATGTTTAGTAGAACTTCTCATTCATTATGAACAATTATCAACAATAATCGTTCAACATCCAGAAGAAGCTAGAAATAACTGTTCAAAAATCGAATTTCTTTATTTTGTTGATGTATCTACTGATCCAACAGATTCTCTTCTCCATTTTTTTCCAAACTTGTACTGTGAAATTAGTAAAAGTACTTGAATTGAAATGTAATTTCGAAATACAAATATTGATTTGTCTGTTAGAAGTATTTTGACATTTTATAAGAGCGAAAACTTCATAAAATTTGAATTGAACAAAATTGAATTAGAGATAAATTATTTGTGTTACTTCGTTACATCTATTTCCACTTATAATACTTTTTCAAAAAGATAATTCACTATGTTGAACAGTTTATAAAGCTCGATATGCGGGTGTGGGCGGTTGTCTTCAGTTCAACCACACCCACACCCTTCAACGAGCTATTCTTTCCGAAGTTAAGTTGAGTTTAGGAAGAATCTGATTCATTTTCAATGAAACAACATGTTCGGAATATATAAATCCTAATAGAAAATTTGTGTACTTTATTCATATTAAAAAATAAAAAATTTCTTATTGTTAATCCCAATCTTTGTGAGTTGCACCAGCAGTAGCTGTGACACCACTAAGACCACTTGCTCAATTTTGACCAGCAGTATGATCATCTTCGGAACGCATCTACGACAAAAATAAAGGCTTTAATAATTATAATAAAAACCAGTCTTACGTAGCTATTTCGCGAACTATGATTATCTTTATAAAGTTGAACTTGGCTGCTATCAGTATATTTTTTAAGAAATTCAGGTACCCGTTGACCAGCCTAATGAAAATGAAGACTACAAAGTTAATCTTTAACTTTTGAAAAAATTATATACTTCGTTTAATTTTAATATGAGTTCAGGTACAATTTTCCGATCGGAATCTCGATCAGGATCAAAAAATGATATTGATTTACCCAGATAATTAGCTTGACCTACAGAAATTTCTCAATAATGTTTTTTTAATTAATTCTATCTGCTATACCAATACGGCATGTATCAAAGTCACTTGTATCTGGAAAATCATAATTAATAACATAATCAATTTGAGGCAAATTTAGACCACGAACAACATCTGATGTTGCAACAAGTATTGGATATTTTCCATTTGCAAATTGTTGTACAACTTCCTGTCGTTGTCTTTGCGTTCGATCACCATGCACTGTTGTACTCATGAAATGTTTTTGTGAAAGTAATGCACCTAGATAATCAGCTCGTCGTTTCGTTTCAACAAATATCAAACAACGTTCAGATTCTAAACCATTTCAATGAATCAAATCAATTTTTCTAAAAGATTTTCTTACTACAAATTTGTTTGATTAATTGAAAAAGACGATCTTTCTTTTTCGAAGACGATACTTCCTCAATTGTCTGTGCAATATCTGTATCGATACCATCAAGCGTACTAACATCAAGAAATACATAATTGGCACGCAGATAATGTTTAGCTAATTGTTGTACTTCATTAGAAAATGTTGTAGAAAATATTGATGTAAAGCGGCTATCTTTTGGTACTAAACCAAGATCTTCTAATTTACGGATATCAAGTTCAACGCCTGCATCTAACATTCTTTAGAAAACGAAAAAACAATCTGGATTATATTCAATGGAATCATCTGTTTCATACCGATCAGCTTCATCAAGAACAAAGTATTTAACCTTTTTCAATGAAATCTTCAATTATAATAAATATCAATTTTTCAATAATAATAGAAAATTAAAATATATTTACTCGGCCTTTTTCAACCATATCTTTAAGATGACCAATAGTAGCTGATAGAATATGACAACCTTTTTGAAGCTGGTCCGATACAACATACATATCATGATCACCAACAGCAGAGCCTTTTAATAAAAAAACATTATTAGAACAATATCTGTCAAGTTTCTTCGACATGCTCTTAATAGTTCGGAAATGCATGTGTTACCCAAAATATGATTCGTTTTTCATTAACTTACACGATATAACAGCAGTTTGAAATGCAAATTTTCTTGCCTCACATTTTATTTGTAAAGCACGATCAGGTGTAGCTGAAACAATAAGACAAAGTGGTGATGGTGGGTCATCTCGCGTAAATAATTCATCCTCATGATATTCAAGTAAATTTGAAATAATTGGTAAAAGAAAAGCAGCCTAGAAAATCTATTTGATTAATAATAAATATTGATAAAACTGAACTTACTGTTTTACCAGATCCACTTTGAGTACAAACAATGAGATCATCTTGTTGTCGTATACTAGGTATAACATAACGTTGAATAGTTGTTGGTTTTTGAAAATGGGCACGACGGATATTTGATAAAATTTGTGTCGTAGGAATAGCTTCTCTATATAATTCAATTGGTTTGATTTTGTCTAATAAGAAAACAAAATATTAAATTGAACGTAGAAAATAAAGAACGAAGACTATTTTATTACTTAGTGGTGTACAGAGTACTTGAGTTTGATGATATTTTTCAAAATTTTGACCTTTAGTAACTGTTTCACCAAATATATTATTTTCGGTTGTTGGTGAAGCGGATGAAACATAATGTTCAGTTGGTTGAGGACAAGGATGAACATCAGCTAAAGGAAAAATTAAACTGTTAGCATTGTTGTTCTATCTCATTCATCTATGTACACTTACGTTGATTGAAAATATCGTCAGAAACCTAAATGAATTAATGAGCTCTTTCAATTTTTAACATATAGATTCACTTACTCGATTATTTTTTCTTCGATCACCAGAACTACGGAAACCATCAACACCAACAGCTAAAAGGTATTTCAAAAGAATCAAAAACATATTGAAAAAAGTTAATTATACTACGAGGTTTACTTTCTTCAGGACAATCATGAGATATATGATCCGGTCTGTGGCTTGAAAAAAACAGTAAATTCACAAATGTGAAAATATAACTGTCGAGTAAAACATACCACTTGTAACAATCTAAATAAAAACAAAAAAAAATAGATATATTTTTCAATTGAAATCGATACCTACTGTCGTCATCACTACGACCACGATTATCTATCATATAGAAAAAAAGTCAAATTTTTCATATTTATTTTAAGTTATCTTACTAGGACCACTTGGATTAAATCGTCCTCTGAGTGCGTCTCGATGACCTTCACTAATTTTTTTATTCATTTTATGTCGGAAACAAAGTACATACTTTACCTCGAAATCCAATATTACCACTGTTAAAACCACCACGAATTGTTGACTTAATAAATTTTGTACTTGTACTTGACTGGTCAAAATCATTATCATTAACTGTGAATCCATTACGACTACTGCTATCACTACGATTATCTAGAAGACAAAGACAATCACATTTTTCATGTTCATTTAAACTTATCTTACTACGAACACTTGAACTAAATCGTCTTCTTCGTACGACGCCACCACCTTTACTAAATTATTTGTTTTTCTATGTAGAAAGCAAAGATTATGATTTACCTCGAAATCCTATATCACCACCTATTGTCGGGTTAATAAATGTTATACTTGTAGTAGAAGCGTCAGAATAATTATCATTAACTATTTTACTTTCTGCATCATGTTGCAAATTACTACAATTTGATTTTGTGTCACGGTTGTCATCAGTTTTATGTTGATTTTCTGAATTACAAAGTTTGACTAATGTTGTTGAAGCGTCATCATTCATCAGCGACATGAAATCAATCTTGCAAACGTCATCACTTAAATTGCAACTATCATCACGATTTTCATCATGTTGATGAGGACATTTTTGACCTAAGAGATCAATCTTATTACAAGTGTTATATGCTTTAAAAGAAAAAGAAACGGTCTCAGTCAATACTTTACAGTTCTTTATGTTAAAAACATTTCAATGACTCAAGTATCTACACTAGATGCTTACTAAAAGAATTGCTATCAGTACTAGACATAAATGTTTGATTATGCACTAGTGCAGTATCCAGTTAAGAAGAAAACTGCACTTGAGAAATAGAAAAATCATATTGAGAGCAGTTACTACTAAAACTACCGTTGCTTCGTCAACCAAAGCCCCAGTTAATATTCGGATTAGTCACTTCACGATTGTCAATATTGCAGAAATTTCTTGAGCTTTCAACCATATCACTGCTACTAGAGTGAGTATTCCATGAAGAAAAAGTGGGTAAAAACCAATTTTTTAGTACTTTCAAAAGTTTTTATTAAACAGGAAAAGGTACTTATAAATGAACCTTTTTAATAGCTTTCCATATTTTCTCAGTAAAAAGTACTATTAAATACTACAGAAAGTATAAAAAAAGTAATAGAATTCACTGGGAAAAGTGAAAAATAGTAGACAAAATTAATTTATCTTGCTGTATGCTCTTTTATTATTAAAAGTACTTGGTAATATTTGAAACACCATTAAATACTTTTAATAATAATAGACTCATGTAACCATAAAACACATTTTAGATGCGTTTAAACGCATCTGCGATATAAAACAGAGTCCAAACGCAATGAAATGCGTCTACTCAGATGGGTGTCTGAACGCGTCGCAAATTGTCACATGTGCTCAAACGCGTTTCTTGATCAAGACACATCCAAACGGGTTCAGATTTGTTATGAAACGCGTTTCAACGCGATTAGATTCGAATGGTTTTATTCTATGCTTGCTGATGCTCTTAAGTTTCAGAAACGCGTTTCTAGCTATGAGTGTACATATGATGCCATTGGAAAACCCAGACTATTTTATCAGAGTATATGTAAATAAATGTCGAATAGTGAACTGAATTTCACATTTTTCATTTAAAGACGCATGAAAATTATCTAACAAATTATTTGGATGACATATTGAAGTCTAACTGTATTTCGAATCCTTAAAATGACTAGTTTTGAAAACCTGTAATTTAAAATATAACTGAATAGTATTGCATAAAACATATAAGGTAAGAATAAATAGTTGCACACCAGAAATCTCTGCATATCTGTGTCCGTCATTCAAACTCATGAAGATTTAGTCAATCTATGAAGTAGAAATGATTGAGAATATGCGTCAAATTCTGAAATGTACAGTACATTCATTAGAGAACAGTATTTATGTAATATTATTGTCTTAATGCCATCATTCATGTTTTTCATGAAATCAAATTCGTTCTTGTATAGTGCATACATTAGACGTACCATTTAAATTTCAAAATACATAAGGTATAAATGTTAAGCAAAAATATTTACCTTAACTCAAATATGAAGTTCAAAGTTAAAGTTTCCGTGTAAACCTCTTTTGAGATACAAAGATGTCAGAAATGGAAGTAACGATAGAATTTTGATGTAGCTCTGATGCATGTCTTCTAGACGTCACTTCAAATAGAGTTGGGTCAGAACGTGACTGAAAACAACTTGAAATAGCGCCTAAGTTCGATCAAAATACAATACGTGTATCCACATACTGTTGCCATCAGTGCGTTTAGATGCGTGAGTGTGCAACACATACTTTATCTGGGCTATATATGAACGCATTTACCATAAATTTCATATTTACTTGCGTTAAAGTCAAAAATATTTTGTCTTGTTTTTTCATGTTTCTTTATATAAATGTTTTTAAACTAAATAAAAGCAAAATTTAACAAGGAAAAAAATTTATAAAATCTGATATAAAAAAACTCAACACTTTATATTAAATTTGTTCAATTCTCATTAATATCTATAAAAAATAAATTCTATGAAATTCATCTGCGCCTTGAAATGATTAAGTGTTTCATTCGGTCTAAAAACATGAAAATAAGAAAGGGTTATTCGGCTTGAATTTTAAATTTTAATTTTAAATATTTTCTTTATGTTAAATAGAAAAAAATGCTAAGGTGTCGCAAAAAATGCGCATCCACTAATAAGCAATTAATTATGGAAAAAAACTTTTTTTCTCACATTTTGTTATTCAGAAACTATAATAATTATTTTAATCAATATAAACAGGTGTGGTCAATATCCATGTATTCGGTTTTAAGTGTCACTAACAAATAAAAACGATGAGAATTTTTCCAAATTCATATAACTTTGTGAAGTAATTGTGATAGAAATAGATGTTTTTTTTCTCTATACAAAGTCATAGGACAATAACAGATAAGATTGAACGAGTATGTATGGCTTCATGATAAGTTCAATGTTTTGTATTCTGTAGGTATCATGGTAGAATTTCGTCTGCTGTGCTCTATTCAATAAGTTAATATTGTATCAGATTGAAGTGAAACTATCATGTGGCGACAAAAATGAATCAATCCCGTCATAGAGTCGATTTCTTTTGTTAATTAAATTAATTTAGGATATCTACCAGCGTGTCTACACGCATCTAATAACAAATAACGTCAGACTACGTTTCTCTATTAGAACGCATCTGAATAAGTTTACATTAGAAAACGCGTCTATCTGCGTTTCAATTTGGTATCGCATCAGTACCTCCAAAAATATTGCATTTTAGACGCATCCAGACGTGTGAAGTGAGATTGCTGACCAATGTTCGAGAACGCGTCAAAAATTAAAAAAATGGATACATGGGAGAGTGTACAGCAAAATAAATTAATTTTGTCTACTATTTTTCACTTTTCCTATTGAATCCTATTATTTTTTTTTGATGCTTTCTGTAGTGCTTAATAGTACTTTTCAGTGAAAAAGTATGGAAAGCTGTTAAAAAGTTTCACTCATAATTACCTTTTCCTGTTTAACAAAAAACTTTTGAAAGTACTAAAAAGCTGGTTTTTGCCTGCTCTTTTTCTTACATGGGATGGAAGTGATTGTATAACTTTTAAGTTCTGCCTCACACGCTAAAATAGTCTATAATTTAGACGCTCAGTAAACAAGATAAATAGCGATACGGAAAGAGAACTTATCATCGTTTGTTTTTGGATTTACTCAATGTTTTATCTGTAAGCATAACCATTAATTAGTGTACGCACTACGGAAAGCAACGATATGTGACCTTCGCTGATCATAAAATTTTCTGTTTAAAAGTTGAGTTCCTATAAACTTTGAATGGATATGCTTCAAATCAATTAGTAAGTCTTGGACTAAGTTAATAAAATCTCGGTCTTTTAATAAATGAGTGCTTATTAGACTAAAAGCGTTCTCACAAAAAATAGTTCTTCAGTCAATAGAGAAGTATTAATATAAAACAAAAGAAAACATCAGTAATGCGCCGATCTACTAAACCTTGAAATATTTTGAATGATTACTCTGTAGTATATACCTTCTTGTGTTACTCTGCACAGTTCATACACAAAGAAGAAACACATGAAGTAGCTAAGTATTATAATCGGAAATTTGAATATTTTGTTCAACGAATAACACATTTACTAATTGTTTGACAAATCTTTTCGGCAATGTCTTCATATTCCTTATATACAATGTAACTATATAGTTTTTAACAGTTTTTACGGTTCTGCCACCTAAATGAATGTCCTAAGTTTTAAACAGATGAAATATTATTGTTTATCTATGAATATAAAAAATAATAAAAGAAAAGCAACAAGCGAAAAGGGCAAATAACTGACAGAACATTATTTCTAATACAAACTTAACAATGCAAACCGTAAATGCTAATCTTACAGATGACATGAAATTTATCGCAGAATAGTTTACTTCTCAAAGGTACATATGAATGTGGAGTATTGAAGAAGATATTTGGTTGCTTAGTCCAATAATAAGATTTCTGTTCTCATATGTTAGTTTCTTTTGCAAACACCAAAACTGCTCGACTTTTATGAACTCACGATCACCAGGATCATTAACTCAGTATGATTTCTTTCGTACAAGAAATAAATTCGCAATTGATTTTATTTCGAATCATTCAATCTATAAACAGTTTGGCTTCTCTAGAAATTTGTCAGTCACTCTATATCATCGATATTTTGTTACAAATAGATGGTTTCTACATTCAATTTTTTCTATATACGGAATACTAGAATTATTTCATTCGAAATCAACCTTTTCGGATCATTTTCACACTTACCAGATGATTTATCCATCGAACTCTTAGAATCATTAGGGTTTGAAACGTTTTTGAGTTGCTTATGTTCTTCAGTTAGTTGTGTTGGACCCTGATTTGAATCAGTATTACTAGTTTTCCTTTCTTGATGATTTCCAGGGGCTAGTATAATTGAAATCGTTTTAACAAATGATGCTGAACCTTCCGAAATCTTAATATTGGACGATGGATCCAATTCTTCAACTAGTTTTGTTAATTTAGTTCTAATTGGCTGTAAATCAATTTTATTACATTTATTGTCTTGGTGAATTCTGTTCAATTGTTCAGTTAATTGGGATAACTGTTTTTCTATTTCAATATAGTGTTTATTTTGATATTCAATTAATATTTGTCTATATTCTTCTGCTGTCTGTTTAATTTTCTTAATTGAATCCTCTTCCCATTTATTAACTTCTTGTATCAAAGGAAATTTTCTTGAAGCTTCTTTTTGTTGAATAAGTTTTCGATGAAACTGATCTCGATCAGTTTCAATCTCACCGAGTTGTTTGCTAAGTGTTAGACGATGTGCTGTTTTATGATCGAAACAAAAGTACCGTGAACATTCTTCACATTTATAGGCGTCTCTGCCTTGATTACATATGCAGCATGTTGATCGAATACTTGCAGGTTTTTGTCCCATATATTAAATATGTTGATGACAATAAATATATCTTTGTCTTAGAATGTGATAAAAAAAAACGAAAAAAAGTAAATATACGATGTAGATGCTTAGATAAATAAAAAAAACAATGAGACCACGTCAATAACATGAATGAAATACAAGCATTTTTAAAAGAATGGAAAGAAATATTTTTCATAAGTAGAAGATTGAAGTTATATCTAATAGATTTTGTTTGAAGATTAATCGAAAGTAAAGATGTCTACTTTTCTCGGTTAGTACCCAATAGAGAGTCATTCATACAAGCAAAACAAGAGGCCGTTCGAAAATATAACAACGATTCTTGAAAAGCAAAAAGTAACTAAAGGTGTGAGTGCGGATGTGGATGTGAGCGGGTGGGTGGGTGCGTGTGAGTGTTTCTGAAGAGAAGATTCCAC